GTGGTAGAGGCGGACATCTTTGCTGGACCAAGGACGTGCAAACGTGGAGGCAAAAGCGGCGTGACCTGTCCAAGTTGCTGGTGCGGCTGTGCCGGCACCACGTTCACCCAGTGGGCCGTAAATGACATGTACTGTCCCTGACCGTAGTTACAGCTCCACACGTCGGCGCTGCCGTGCACTTTGGCAGAGACCGACATGCTCAAAGACTGGCCCACCATCTCTTCTACATGTGAATGCAGGGCTGGCACTGCCTTTTTGGCGAAGAAATGCCGGCTTGGCACTCTCCACCGCGGCTCGGCACAAGCCATCATTTCTCGGAAAGGTGCTGAGTCCACCACTTGGAAAGGGAGGGACTGCAGCACCAGCAACTTGGACAGGAGGACGTTCAGCTTCTGCACCGTCGGGTGCGTGCTCGCAAACTGTTGTCTCTTGGAAACGGATTCCAAGAAAGACTGCTGACGGAATCCGTGAAGAGGAGTAGCAGGAGAAGGAGCATCTGAACGAGCGGAAGATGCCAACGAGCGACAACTCCCCTCAGCAGAGGTGTTGGAGCCTTGACTGGCTGATAGAGGGCGATTGACGTCGGGTGACGGAGCAAGTAACGGAGCGGGTGATGGAGCGGGGGCTGGGGCAGGCAGAACCGCCGTATCTTTATCACGGTTTTCCCAGGCCACCGAATGGCGACGCTGCATATGCTGACGCAACGCTGTAGTCCCAACATGGGCCCCCTGGCCACGCTTGACTTTCTGGCCACATAGTCGACATACGGCTACGTTTACTTCCTCGGGGGCGGCTTGACGAAAAATTGCCCACACCGCCGAGTAGGAAACTTTGCCCCCGCTACTCCTCACTGGCTGACTGCTACTTCCTCCGTGCACACCGGCACCACTACTGGCCGTGGTGGTAGGCTGCAGTGGAGCTGGTGCTCTACTCCGTGGCCGTTTGGCTCCACTGACACTGCTGCGACCCTGCTGCCTCCTGGGCAACCCACCGACTGTTTTGCTCGCTGGCAAGCTGGCACCCTCTTCTCCTGATGATGCGGAAGCAATAGCCTGATGACGACGAGGCTGCCAAGTGCGATCAGCCTCATCATCATCAATTAGGGTCTCCGCGTCACTACTAGCCCCCTCGGCTGCGTGTGGGTCAGGAGACAGACCTGTCTCTAGACCGGCTACCGAGCCACTCTCCTCGCCAGTACTTCTTCGCCTGGCTGCTGAAGAGGCGGATGTCTCCCCCCGTTCCTGACCGCCCTCTGTTAGCTCTTCCTCACTGTACAGTGGGGCTGAGCCCACAGCATGCGATACTTCGCTTGGTGAGGGAACACCAAAGGACAGGGGCAGGTCGAGGACACGTGATTTCAGTGGGCTTGCTCCCGGGCCATGCCAACTAACGGTTGTGTCTGACGTACCCACCGACCGTTGGCTGTAGGTGTCAGAGGTGACCTGGGAAGAGGAAGACGACCGAGTCAACCAATCGATGACGGCAGGGTTGTCGGTGGAGACACGACCGCTGGATGACACCGGGAGCACTGGCCTCTGGCTGCGACTAGTGC